GCTTACTAAAGCGCAATTTTGGAGTACAGAAAACCTAGACTCTGTAAGCTGAACAGCTCCTGGACTGTCCTCTGGGCTGACAGGGTCAAATACCAGGAAACTGAAATACAGTTGCCACACTGAACCCGGGATGGACATTTTAGGAATAGACTTCAAACAGGACTGGAAGCCCACAAGAACACTACTCTAGACCCACCCAAAGCTTCGAAATGAGTCTGCAAAGTTTCAACCTCATACACTGGTAGTTGATAAACAATAACACAATTGTTTATTTTATTTATTTAAAATTTTTTCATTTTACATACCAACCAGTGTTCCTCCTCCCTCCCCTTCTCCCACTTCTCCCCCCCTCCCACCAGCCCACTTCCATCCACTCCTCACAGGGGGTGAAGCTCCCTTGGGTATTCAACACAGGCTGGTATACCAAGTTGGAGCAGGACCAAGCCCCTCCCCGCAGCATAAAGGCTGAGTAAGGCATAACACCACAGGGCATGGGCTCTAAAAACCTAGTTCATCACCTTGAGTGAGGTAGCTCAGACCCAGAAAGACAAACATGGTATGTACTCACTCACTCATAAATGAATATTAGACACAAAGTCAAGGATAAACAGGCTACAATCCAAAACTCCAGAGAAGCTAAGTAAAGAGGTGGACTCTAAGAGGGGCATGTGTAGATTGCCCCAGGAAGGGGATAGGGTTTAGACCTCCTGGGTAAACTGGGAGTGGGGAGTAGAAGGGAGAGGATTGGGGGGGGGTGGAAACATGAGGGTTTGAGATGGGTGAGTTAGGGGAGGGACAGAGAGGGAGAGCAATGAAAGATATATCTTGACAGAGTGAGCCATTATGGGGTTAGGGAGAAATCTGGTGCTAGGGAAATCCCCAGGAACCCACAAGGATGTCCCCAGCTAAGACTCATAGTAATGGTAGAGAGGGTGCTTGAACTAGCCTTTCCTTGTACTCAGATTGGTGACTACCCTAATTGTCATCATAGAACCTACATCCAGTGACTGTTGGAAGCAGATGCAGAGACTCACAGTCAAGCACTTGGCCAAGCACCTGGAGTTCAGAAGAGAGGGAGGAGGGATTATTGGAGCAAGGGTGGGGTGGGGTGGATCAAGATCATGATGGGAAAAACCACAAAGTCAGCTCATGGAGTCTGGACTGACAGCTGGGGAGCCTGCATGGGACTGCACTAAGCCCTCTGAATGAGGGTGACAGTTGTGTGGGTCGATCTGTTTGTGGGTCCCTTGGCAATGGGACCAGGATTTATCCTGGGAATACAACTGTTTTTAAAAGAAAAAAATCAGCAAAATTCAAAACTTACAAACCTTATTATGGTACTACCCTTCCTAACAGTGGCTTCACTTTAATTTCTGTTACTCAGGACCAACCATAATCCAAAAATATCAGGTGAAAAATTCCAAAAGAAACAATTTATAAAGTGCATAAAGTTAGTGAAATTGAAATTGCATGCTGTTGAGAACAGGATGGAATTGGGCCATCCTTCTCCATCCCCTGAAGGGCATTCATTTTCCCTCAGTCTCAGTGTATCCGTGGTCTCCATGCTCCATGATTATTTAGTGGCTAGTTGTCTTTGTTATCAGACCGATAGTCATGATATCACACTCCTGTGCTCAAGTCACCTTGATTTTATTTCATGGTGGTCTCAGAGTACAAGAATAAAACGTCTGGCAATTCCAAATGCTGAATAGCACCTATCGACTGCTCCCCCAAGGTGAAATGATAGAAGTTCTCAGACTAATAATGAAAGGCAAGCATATTATTCTGAGAATGTTATGATTTAAGGTAAGGACAAATCTACCCATAAAATTGTGATGTTGGAAAAAGGTCTGGGTCCATTTTATTATGGTACATCAAACTGCAAATGTTGCAAGCAGAGAGCATAAGTCCTTAGTTAAAATGTGAAAGATACTATTTTGTGGGTGGGAATGTAAACAAAAAACAAGGTCTGGTGAGCAGAAACACAGTGCTCCCCAAAGTATCGGGCCCATACCAAGGCTACAGCTAGAAAGAGACCCCAGAAACGACTGACAACAAGCTATTTGCCCCAAGTGAGGGCTGAATAAACAAAGTCAGAAATAAATTTTGGATTGAGAAATCATAAAGTTCAGGCAGAGTCTAATGAATAAGCCACAATCACACCTCCGCACATCTGAAAACCCCGATTAGGAGAAATAATAACATTCGGTCAAGTCTTAGAGTGTGTGATCAACTCAACCAGTCTGAAGATATATAATAAAACCTACACTTGTAAAAAGGCAAAGAGGCTGTAGGGCAGGAAAGTGGGAGGGCAGTTCAATTCGGGGACGCCATGACATCAGGCCAGGGCATACGAAAAAGTGTACACAGTGTACAGATGAGAGGACCAGACAACTCTCACAGGAAGGAAGAAAAATTAGCTAAGTAATACAAAGAATAAATCAAACAGTATTAAAAACACAAGTAAAAATAAATTTAGATAAAATGATAAGAGTCAACCTACGGCAGACAAAAGAGCAAAGGTATCTTACCAAGAAAAGCCTCCAAACAACAGGACATCCACATGCAAAATCAAAGACACATGTTATCTTTCATAAAAATGAATGGAGCATACTATGCCTAAATGTAGAAAAGAGATATCAAATTTGTAAAACAGCAGAAAATCTACACAATTTTAGGTTTGATAACTTTTCAAATAAACAAGGGGAACATTCTCTTTAGCAGATAAGATTAGAAAGAATCCAATAATTAAATTGAAATTGCTTTTTCTATAAATGGTAATGTTAAGAGAATTAAACGGTAAGACACATGCTGAGAGGAAATATTATATTTGCAAAACACTCATATGGCAAAGGTCTTATGTCCAAAATACACAAACAACTCAAAATTCAAATGTTTGAAAAAAACATTTTTCATGGGGAAAGATGTGAAACTTCATCTAAGAAGACATACAGATGGCACACAAATCTATAAAATAGCACACATCATTCGGGAATTGAATACTAATGTAAGAATGAGGACCAGACTGCTCGGAAGGTAAAATACTTGCCTTCTAAGCCTAGTCTCCACAGTTCAATCCCTGGCTGGCTCTCAGTGGAAGGAGAGGACCAACTTGCCAAAACTGTCCTGTGACTTTTCCATGAACTCCTGGTTTGTGCACAGACACACACACACACACACACACACACACACACACACACACACACACACACACACAAAATGTACAAACCATTAAAACAATGAGCTGTCATCACATGCCTAAGGGCTAAAGTGAAAAACTCAAGCCACTGTTGGTGTGACTACGAAATGACGTACCTACGTTGGGAGAGAGTTCGGTCCATGTTGCTTTGTTTCTAAAATGCTGGTAACTGAACTTTAGTGAACGCTGGGTCCCCACTCCACTACTGAATTATATTCCACCACACCCCCTTTTCTTTTCTACCTTTTATTTAGAAATAGGTTTTCACCAAGATGCCCAGGATGCCTTGCAATCACTCTATAAGCCAAGCAGGCCCTGAACCTAAGACCCTCCTGCTTCAGGCTCCCTGGAGGCTGGGATTAGAGGCCTGCACCACCAGACCCAACTTGGCAGGTTTCCCCAAATCTAAACATCATCTTACGGTATGACCAGCACTCATACTCCCAGGAGCTTGCCCAACTAATTTGAAGCTGTCTGCTCACAAAGGCTTTTCCCTGTGTGGTCAGAGTAGTGTTCCTCCTATTTCCCCAAACAAGCCAGACACCAAGACACTCTTCAAAAACAAATAGAGAGCTCTACTGTGGTAGATACAGACAATTCAGCAATCAAAAGGGATGTGTTGTCAAGCCATGAAAATACAGAGAGGATTTTTTACAATCATTTTGCTAAGTAAAAGAACAAAACCTGCAAAGCCTGTGTGTTGATTCTAGCTTTCAAAATGGAGAAGGGTAAATGGTTCCAGAGGTCTGAAATAGGGAGAGAGGTATGATTATGTTTTGCCCTGTCTCCTTCTAATAATTCAGTGTTTTAAGGTCTCGTTTAGTTATTTGAGCCAGCTGAGGCAAATGTACTAGACAAGGGTCCAAAGTTCATTATTTTGTATATAGGTATCCAATTGTCCCAGCACCAATTGTTGAAAAAAAATCTCACTTCCTCATTATGTAGTCTCAGCAGCCTTTTCAAAAATAACTTAACCCTGTGTAGGAGGGTTTATTTCTGATTAACCATTCCATTAAAATGTTTTTTTTTTCTATTTCTGCAAAACAGGTGATTGGTATTTTGATAGGTATCATACCAAACCTGCAATTTCTGTGCATGAGATTGATATTTTGATTAATATTGACTCTAACCCATGAATGTAGTGATATTTTCTTTGTGAACCACAATAAACCAGCTTATCTGAGGATCAGAGGAAAAAGCCAGCCACTATAGTAAATATAGAGGTCTGGCAGTGGTAGCACACATCTTTAATTCTCGCATTCAGGAGGCAGAGAGCCATCTGGATCTCTGTGAGTTCAAGGCCAAACTGGAAACAGAGCCAGGCGTGGTGACACACGCCTTTAATCCCAACACTAACCATAGAGGTCTGGAGGTCTGTACAGACAGACAGGAAGTGATGTAGCTAGGCAGAGAGAGGAAGTGAGATGGCAGAACAGAAAGGCATATAGGCACAGGGATACAGGAAGTCGGTCTCTTTGGAGGCTGAGGGTTGGTAAAGTGAGGTTGGCTGTGGTTTGTCCTATTCCTCTGATCTCTAGGTTTTCAACCCAATATCTGGCTCTGGGTCTTTTAGTAATAAGACTGTTTAGCAAGTCGTCTTACACATGAACACTACATGAGTTTCTACTTCAGACTTCTGTCATTGTGACCTGTAACCTCACCACCTACTAACTCCTCTGCATCTTTGGATGCCCCTGTAATCCTGGCTGCTTTTAGTAGTCTGTTTAGAATGTTTATCCTTGGTGTCTGGTAGTACAACTGATTTTTCTGTGTGTGTTGACTGGGTCCTGCTACTCTGTGGACTTATTAGTCCTAATAGTCTTTGTATGTTGAATCTTGTAGGTTTTCTCTGTACAAGATTATCTCTTTTGTGGGAAAAAAAAAGTTTTTTCACTTCTTTCTTCCCAACTGAGGTTCATTTATTTCTTTTTCTTGACTATTCTGGCTAGAACTGTAAAGTGGCAAAAGTGAACTTCGAGCCTTTTCCTGAGAGGAAATGCTTTCAGTTTGTGCCACTGAGTATGATGTGCAGGTGAGTGTCTTTATTTAATGAAAATACAATTACATCCTTTTCCCCCTCCCTCTCCTCCTTCCTACCCATCCCATGTCTGACTCCTCCTCCCAAACCCACTGCCTCCTTTCCTTCAATCGTTGTTGTTACACACACAACAATAAGCAGAAAATGAACAAATAAATACAACCAGCTGAGTCTGGAAGTGTGTTCCTAAGGTGGACCACGTGGTATTGGATAACCAGTAGGGGAACTCATACCCAGGGAAGGCTGATTCTCCCTCTCTTGTAGTTGTCAATTGCCTGACAACTCTTCATCCCTTCATCTACAGTGAGGAGTCAACTGTTGCTTTAATTGTTTTGGTCTTGTTTAGACAGTCATGTTGTTGAGATTTTATGGATGTAGCTTCCCTCTCATACACAGCTAGAAGGCAACAACCTCACAGCAGACTTCTTGGTCCTCTAGCTCTTACAGTCTTCCCACCTTCTTTTCCAAGAGATACTCCCTGAGTTTTGGGGGCAGGAGTTGTGTTGGAGGTGTATCCATTGGGGCTGGACACCCTTCAGCCAGCTGTTCTCAGCATTTCAACAAATAGTCTCCTGCTGCTGCAAAAAGAAAATTCTTTGGTGAGGGAAGAGAGTTGTGAGCATCAAGAAAGGTATTTAGAACACTTTCTTGACTATACAGGTTTAGGAAAGTAGAATAGGTAGCTTTTACTCTAAGGCTCATGGACTCACTAGCTATCCGTAGTTGACTAGGTTTGAAGTCCACGGCATGATTCCCTCCTGCTAAGCAGGCCCAGAGAGAGGCCAATTAGACAGCTGCTGTTACTACCAAGATATGCATGCCACTATTCTACCTTTAAGAATAGCTTGTCATTCTGGTCATTGCTATGACTCATGGGCAGTATATAACTGGATATGGCTATTAATTATTTCCCCCCTTAGCACCCTGGATATCATCTTTCAATACTATGAAAGCTAGTCTTCAGGGGAGCTCTCTGGTCAGTCACAACTCAAAGCTCTTGAATATGTCCGAACTGTATGTTGTCTTCAACAATAAGGGCTCACTTTAATCTTCTTGGAGGCAAGCTAGAGCAGTAGACTATACTGTTTGAGGAATCTCATGGACTCCTCTGACTAAAAACTCAGAAGGATATTGCACATGCATGGTACTTGAGTTTTTACTAAATAGTCTATGGCTCTTGGGAGAAGTATTATTACTCAATGGTGTGTGTGTGTGTGTGTGTGTGTGTGTGTGTGTGTGTGTGTGTTATGTAATTTTAGGTATATATAAAATGATTCCTTATGCCATTTTCAAGCATAATCAGTATTTTTAATTCTTCCCTCCCTCTCCTTCTATATTGTTCCCCCTCTTCTCTCCTTAATTAAACACCCCCCTCTCCGTTTTCCCATTTTCTCCCTCATTTCACCTGTATCCTGTTTTGGTAGTACCAAAGTTTGAACCTGGGGCCTTGTGCATGGTAGGTAAGTGTTCAATCACTGAGATATATCCCTGGCCCTGAATTTCCACTGTTTTTAATGTTTTTCTTATGAAAAGATTCTGGATTTTGTCAAATCTTTTTCAACTGAGGTGACAATAATACAAATAACACATGCTAATAAATTTCTCAAAAGATATAAAATGTGAAAAGATACTGAAATACTCAAAAGTTTTGCAAAGAAATGGCTATTCCAAATAGAGTACTATACCTTTAAAGAAAATAAAAATGAAATTAAACTGTCTCCCCAGATATTCCACAAGCTACAAAGGCTCCTTGGTAAATTCTATCAAACATATGACACCTTATATGAGTACCTGACTCATTTTATATAGTTATGGCTACATCAACAACATGAATCAGAACATGAATATGCAGTATTGTCCTGATAGTTAAGTGCATAGCCTTGAACGGGGCTCTCTTTGTATGTTAACGTTGGCTCTCGTGTTTTCAGGTTCTTATTCCACAAATTTGGTAGAGTGCTTTTACTTGGATCCTGACACTCGCTTGATATACCAGCAGGAGAAAAGACAAGCATGTAGATTATTTCCTCCCTTGGACTGCAGGAGAGATGGTTCCAGTGGCTGAGACATCACCTCCTCCTACTCTCCACCAATGGCAGGAAAGGGGATTCCATTACAATTCCTCTTCTGTTCACAACACAGGTACATTGTAAGTGTGAAACTCAAGAGAGGAAGATGATGCCAGCCAGAAGTTCAGGGATGTGCCACAGATGACAGAAAAGGGACATGGGTAATCAAAGTTCAGATGAATTTCCAGTTATTCATTGATATTCTCTTTCTCTCTTTACTTCATTTTATTTATTACTTTCTGTTGTAGAGCTGAGAGCTATGGAAAGAAATATTTAGGAACTGCTTCAGTAGATAATATTTAAGAATCTCTCAACCAAATATTTGCCGAGGGCCTGCTCTGTGCCAGAAATCAAGGTTTTCATAGAGTCTAAGGATTCCAAGTGCATTTAGAAAGAAACACTTTTCCTGGGTGATCTGGATATTTCCCATTACTGTTTATATCTAATAAATTTGACAGGTGGGAGTCAGAGAATAAAGAAATGGCTAAAATTCAGTCAGTTAGGAAAGCAGGCATTTGGGCCTGTGCCCGCAGCACCTTCAAGGCCATGCGGTTTCTACTCTGCTCCGCTACCGCAACAAGAAATGCTTCACCTTGGTCCTCACCGTGTTTGATAGCTCACCAGCTGAATCCATTCATATTTTATCACGATTAACAATGCTGTATGAGAGTCACATCTAGCCTGTACTTTCAATTCTTTTAACTTTCATTCTTTGTGGATCTCACAGCAGGCATTCAGATCCCCTTGCAGCCTCCCTCTGCCCTTGCAATCTCCCCGCCAAAACAAAAGAAAATTTCAAAGATCTTGTGTGGAACAATTTAAAGAGTATTGGTAGTAACTCTTCTTTGACGATCTGATAGAATTCTGTGTTGAAACCATCTGGGCTTTTTTTTTTTTTTTTTTTGGTCGGGAGACTTTTA